AGACCGGCAAGGGTAGAGCTCATTCTTTTTTTTTAATTTCTTGGAAATTCTGAGGTTGCCTGTCTTTTTTTTTTTTAATTTTTTTTTAAATTTCTTTACTGATTCAGGTATCACATATTTGTCCTCATGCAGCTGCTAAGAAAGGAGTGGTGATGAGTCGTGTTACACTGGTGCCGCTGTGGGGCTGGGGGCTTCCTCCGTGTGACCATTCAGTCAGCACCCTGGTCATTCCTCCCCCTCTTAAAGGCTAAAGGCTGTCAGTCCCCTGGGCGCTCTCATCGGCTGCTCTCCGCCACCCTGCAGTCGTTCCCGGAGAAGGGAGGGTGGGTGAACAGAGTTCGGGACTCAGTACACATCCCCTGCTCTGGCTCTCGGTGCTGAGTCTGGGGGTTTGCCGTGACCACACGAGACAAGCCACCTCCATCGGCCCTGACGGGCTGTTTCCAGGCGGCACTGAGACCTGGCCTTCCAGAGGAGCTGAGTTCGGCTGCACTGGCATGGGGCCAGTTAGTTCTGAGGATGTCGTCTTCCATCCGCGCCTCCTCCCTGCTGTCCCCAGGAGGTCTCTGTCCCCAGAAGGGGGCCCTGCTGATTCTGCGAGCCCGTTACCTCAGACAGTAAGCTATTTGTGCAGCCGCCTTGGATTCCAGCCATCGAGAACAAGGAGCAGGGAAGGCAGCCGATGCCTCATTTCTCAGCCTTCCTGCCACAGGTTCCTTGCAGAAGCAGCGACCGAGTCTCCGTTGCACCTGCTTTTGACATCGCTGACCGCTCAGCAGCCACAGCGCTGCCCCCCAGGCTTCCTCTCTGGCTGATGGGGTGGGTCCCTGTGGGCGGAGGAGAACTCAGTTTTCCCAGGCTTCGTCCTTGTCTTGCCCTCAGATTACAATCTGAAATGGGAGTCCAGGTCCTTCAGGATTGAGGGGGTGCCCGCTGAAATACTGGGTGTGGACTGAGCCTCTTCGCAGCTCATGACCTCAGTAGAATGGACAGAGTGCAGCACTGACTTTGAAAACGTGGCAGAGGCCTAGCTGACCACGTGGACAGATGAGTAAACTGAGGCCAGACGTGCAGGGGGACGGCAGCACATGCACCCCCTGTTTATCTTCCATCCTCCACTGAGAGCTGAACCCACAAGGCAGGGACCTCGTTTTCTCCACACGTTTCTCTGCTCAGAGCAGTGCCTGGCACATCAGTGCCGCAGTCTCGGAGGCGTCACAGGAGGGATGGGATATATTGTATTTAGCTGTAGCGGTGCTTACAAAACACACAACCTTAGAAACAGGAAAGCTGCCCCACACGTGGGTTAGTTTCAATACCCTAGAGCAGTGGTCGGCAAACTCATTGGTCCACAGAGCCAAATAGCAACAGCACAACGATTGACATTTCTTTGGAGAGCCACAGTTTTTAAACGTAAACCTCTTTTAATGCCACTTCTTCAAAATAGACCTGCCCAGGCCGTGGTATGTTGTGGAAGAGCCACACTCAAGGGGCCAAAGAGCCGCAGGTGGCTCGAAAGTCGCAGTTTGCCTACCACTGCACTAGAGTTAATGTGGTCAAAGAACAGTGTCTTCGTTTTGGGATGTAGGCATTCACCCACCTACTGCTTTGCCTCGCATCTCCCCCCAGTCTGCACACCCTGCCTGCAGGGTGTCCTCTCACCAGCTCTCCAGGACACAGGCCAGCGGGGGCCACCGGCCGTGCTCTGTGCCAGCTGTCACTGACCAACCGTCTGTCACTGATTAACCGTGGGTTTCACCCTCAGCGCCCAGCGTTCCACCTGAGTGTCCCATTAAAGCTTGGCTCCACTTCCCGCCCACCTTCAGAGGCCGAATGCTAAAGACTCGCCGCTGCCAGCCCGGCTTTGGGGATTATCGCTTCCACCCGCGGTGCCAGAAAGCCAGCCGCTCAAGTGCGGGCTTGAGGCAAGGCTGGAGCCTAGGTGTGGAGGCTGTTTTGTTGTCTGCAACTGTCCGCAGCTTTGTCCGGAGTTCCCATTCCGTGGCGGAGCACCTAGCTTTTTGTTGTTATGGTTAATCCTCACCTGAGGATATTTTTTCTCATTGATTTTTTAGAGAGAGTGGAAGAGAGAGGGAAAGGCGGAGAGAAACATAGATATGAGAGAGACACATCAATTGGTTGCCTCCTGCACATGCTCCAACCAGGGCCTGGGCCAGGGAGGAGCCTGCAACCAAGATACATGCCCTTGACCAGAGTTGAACCCAGGACCCTTCTTTCCTCAGTCCGACGCTCTGTCCGCTGAGCCAGACTGGCTAGGGTGAGCATTTAGCTTTTATTCTCTCTCCTTCCTTCCTTCCTTCCTTCCTTCCTTCCTTCCTTCCTTCCTTCCTCCTCCTCCTCCTCCTCCTTCCTCCTCCTTCCTCCCTCCCTCCCTCCCTTTCATCTTCCTTCCTCCCTCCCTCCTTCCCTCCTTCCTTTTCTCTCTCTTTCCTTCCTCCCTCCTTCATTTCCTAAGCAGTGGTGGTTCTGATCCAGCGTCTGCTAGCCTGTCTTCTGGACATTGAAACTAAGTCCAACATGTTCAGACTCTGTCTTGCTTGTTTTTCCATGGAATATGCCCACAGAATTGTACATTTTAACGAGTCTCCCAGTTTGAGGCATAGTGCCATGTACAATGGTGTGGACACCTGTGTTGGTTCTTCCTTCAAGACCACGTTCACAGCTTAACGTCTGAATTTTAGCATTTCTTCATTGCTCCGCGGGACATTCTAAACTGGTGCTGGCTGCCTTTTAAGTCCGATGTTTTTCTTATCCTTGGAGAGATGTATTCTTGAACCTTTGAAATTGGCTCCTCTTTTGGCCTAAGACTGCTAGTATGCCAGAAAGCTTTTTTGAAGTCACTTGTCAGATTCCGTGTAATTAAAGCGATCTGGCATTTTCTCCCATCAAAGCATTTTAGCCAAAATACCCACATGTCTTAAATAATCAACTCTTTTCCGTGTGGAGTTGAGACTTTTTTTTTTTTTTTAAGCTTCACTTTGCCTTTATAAGTATTTACAATCACACAATAGCCCCAGGAACCTAACCATCTCCCCTGCAGGTGGTCGCGCACAGACTACGGGATACGGATGTCCTTCCAGGTCCTAGCGGGAAACAGGTGGCACCCCCACATGGGCTGGGTGCCTCATGTGATGAAAGGCGCCCCTTCCACATCTGTGGTGGGCTTAAGCCAGCCCGCGGGGATGGCAGCCCTGAAAGGTGATGGTGAGAACCACTTCCTGTCTGCAGGTGCAAGGAGAGAGAGCAGCTTCCAAAAGCCAAGGGAGAGCCCTCGCACAGAACGCGGGCTTCACCGAGGAGGCAGCACTGCCAGGGTGTGGCCTGGGGGGGCGAGGGGTGATACCCTGCACCTGCCTCTCATCCTCTTGTCTCTCGTGTCTTCCATTGGTTGGACCCAACTGGAAGCTGAAGGACAAGGCAGCCCACTGGGTGCCGTGCAGGAGAGGCCTGCCTCCTGGGCTGCAGACCCGGGACCAGGGCAGGAGGACAGGCAGAGCACAGCACGGGCGTGGATCCCCCAAGAGCAAGTGAAATGGCGTGTTTCTGGACTGTGCTCCCATTTCCCGGAAATGCGTCCTCGGGGAGAAGGCCTGATGACACGGAGGGGAATTCCTCGTCTGTCTGGGAAGATGCGTCAGGAACGTCTGGCTAAAATGGCCAGCTCTTCCTTTGCAGGCGCATCCTCCTCTCAGGCTCCTGGGTTTTAGAAAGCAGAGCCCAGCTGTTGTGTGCGGCAGGAGCACAGCAAACACTGGGAATCAGGGTCTTATTGAAACACGCCTTGGGGTGATGATACCGTTCACCGAATCCCGTCCGTGGAAACGGTGTTGGTAGCTGAGAGCATGATGCTGGTCATGCAGGGCAAAGGACCAGCACGCTCACCTGCTCTCACGGGAGCGGCAGTTTTTAGGGATGGCTGTTGGCATTCTGTTTATCTGTAAGAGCATCAACTGCTGACGTTTTAGGTGAAATATGTGGGGAATTTAGGCATTTGCAAAAGAACGTCATCATTTTATTTTCTCAGCAGGACACAGTATTCTGCAGAATAGTTGGGGAGTTCCCAGAATAGAGGAAAAAGTCACTTCCTGATCCAAATTCTACCAAGAGAAGAGAGATGAAACAAAATCCCCCCCTCCCCCCCTTATACACGCACACCTCAAGGGTTTTGGCCTCCTCGGCCTCTGGGCCTGGATGCCCCATGGAATTGGGCTTTCCTGCTGCCTCCAGGAATGCCCTTTGTTCCTGGGACTGGTGGGGATGACTGTGTGGCATGTGGATGTTATCTCTTCTCTGAATGGCAAGTCTGCACACGCGGGACATGGTTTGTACTCCCAGATGTTCCTGAATTCTGGAGCTTCATTGTGGGCTTTATTTCGTGCTGTTTGCGCCTGCATGTAGACACCTGCCATCTATGGAGACAGTATAGGACTCCCCCCACGGGCTGGCATGTGAACGAAAGGAGGTAATATGATGGCACACATGACAGAACTTGTGTACAGCGATTGTCATTCAGCTGCAACACAGCAATGGACCTGACATGGATGTTGTCTTAACCACTATTGGGTTGGATACCCTTCTCTTTATGGAGAAATTATTTCCTAAAAATAATGGCTCTCGTGAAAGCACTAGGCAACAGAAAATGTTGATAAAGTACTTCTTATTTACGAATGGAATCTAGTATCGCTTTGTGAAGAGACAAATATGTAGTCGAATCTCCCTTTTGCCCAAGCCTGGTCTTAGGACTGGAAGGCCTAAGACTAGCTCCTGCTCCATTGCTTAATAAAAAATGCCCATGAGCAAATTCTCAGACCAGCAGGAGCCTCCGTTTCCTCATCCTTAACATGAGGTTGATTGCCATCTACTCACTGATTATGGAGCTCAAGTGCAGGGAAGTACGTGTACACGAAGAGGCAAAAAATGTTGTCGGGATGAACTCTAAAGAGTGGAGATCTGAAGGTGATTGTTTACCTCTTTTCCAGCTTTCATCTCGCTGCCACAAAAGGACACGTGGAATGTCTCAGGGTCATGATTACGCACGGCGTGGACGTGACAGCCCAAGATCCTGCCGGTATGTGGTCTTTATCTCTTAAGTCAACCGGCTGGCACACGCGTAGGCGCCCCAGAGGTGGCTCCCCGTGGAGACGAATCGCGTAGTCCACCCCTGGGCCTGGACTCTGAGGCGCTTTCCTCCTTTGTGCTGTCACAGGCGTCTTCATCTCAGACGTGGCCGGTCAAGGGCACCCTGCGTGCCTCTCACCCCCCACTTAAAAATGTCTTTATTTCGAGGAGCCAGGGGAAGAGGTGATAAAGGGAATGCCTTGTTTGGGAGCTCCTCTTGCCTACTGAGATGTGCTCCGGGGGCAGAGGCTGTGGTCCTCCTCTGGACCAGCTGCCCCCGCCCCCTCGCCCCCTGCCCCCGCCTCTCCTCGCTGTGCTCAGTGCATCCACATCAGCTGGGGACGTGGAAGGAAGGTAGAGAGCGAGGGGGAGAGCAGGAAGGGCGGGAGAGGAAGGAATGAACAGCACGCACACCCTCTGAGGTTCAGATACCGTTGCCTGGAGGTTGCCAGACAACTGGTGCTATTTTTCAAGTTCCCCAGGCGATTCTGATGTGGAGCCGGCGTGGGCAAACACTGAGCCCACGCAGAGGGAGAGACAGGGTGGTGGTGCCCCTCTTTCATGAACGTTGTCCCACTGAAAAGAGCCGCTGAGGTCTCCGGCATGGGTTCTGCCCGCTGGCAGCACCCGAGGATCAGAGCGACTCGCAATGCTCCGTTTCTCTGTTGTTCTAAGTTCTGAGGCTTTCGTTCGTTCCCACTGGAATATGAAATGAGCCTGACTCTGTAGTCTTTTTGTTAGTCCATAATGGATCTCCCTCTCCCCTCTCCTTCCCATAGCACTGGCCTCCTCAGGATAGTTATAGGGGGAGGGAGGGGCCTCCGGTCAGCTGATAGAATTGTTGCTCAAAAACTGATTGGAAAACTTGAGTTTTAGAATTGTTTCCAAAAGTCCATGGCACTTTTTATTTTATTTATTTATTTATTTATTTTTAAATATATATTTTATTGATGTTTTACAGAGAGGAAGGGAGAGAGATAGAGAGCTAGAAATGTCTATGAGAGAGAAACATCGACCAGCTGCCTCCTGCACACCCCCTATCGGGAGTGTGCTCGCAACCTACGTACATGCCCCTGACTGGAATCGAACCTGGGACCCTTCAGTCCGCAGACCGATGCTCTACCACTGAGCCAAACCAGCTTCGGCCCGTGGCACTTTTTAAGCCAATGGAAAGATCCCCGGGGATCAGGAATCTCTGTTCTTTCAGAGTAAGTCTGTTTCTTTAGGACTGGCCGAGAGCCGCTGGAAGTCGCGTCAGGCGAGTGAGGAGTCCCTGGGAAAACCATTATCAGTGGAAAACGGGGGGATTGCAGGAACAGGACAGTTTCCCTGAGCCGTGCCACAGAATGCTCCCCCGGTGTCTGGAGAATTGGCGGCCCTGGCAGAAAAATGAATGGTTTCCTTAGGTGACTGCCCGGAGGGAATGCTGACTTATGACTTGAGTCCTCTTTAATCCCCGGCCCGGTGTCTCTGGTCTTAAAGTTCATTGCGATCACTGGTGACGTTTTACGTCTGGAGCTAGAGTGCCCTGGTGGGCAGGACATCCTCTGACATAAACAGGCTTCCTCCCAGGAAACCATGGCCTGAAAGACTCCGCTTAAAGGGCATAAATCAGAGCTGGAACACAGCTTGGCTTCCCTGCACTTGGTGCCAAGAAATGGAGTTTAGACAGGAGTCCAGTCATTTGCATCAGAGCCAAGAACCCTCCCCTCCCCGTCTTTTCCCATGCGGAGAAGGAGGTGTGCTGATGTGTGCTCATTGTGGAAAGTCTGAGAGAGACAGAACGCCATAGAGCAGAGGACCAGGGCTTCTGCTACCAAGGAGAAACACCATCCACGGTGTTGCTATATTTCCTTCAGACTTTTCCTGGCACAGTTTTACACAGCTGAGATCACATTTGATGATAATCTCTACATCCTGCCCTCCGCCCGCCTTAACAAATATTTTACCAGTAGTATTTCCTCTAATAAAAACTCTTACAAAGCGTAGGTACGTTGTTGGTTTGTTCGTTTGGGTAGAGTTTGTATTTACCACCAGGGCCCTCGCTCAGTTTTTTAAGAGCCTGGGGAAGCGTTGGGCAGTGCGACCTGCACCCCCCTGTCCACCGCGGAGCAGCCCTGGAGGGGCACACCGGTCCTGGCAACCTCTCTAGGCCGGTCCCTGGGATCTGCCAGTCCATGTCTTTCTTTTTTCCTTTTTTTTTTTTTTCTTTTTAAATATATTTTATTGATTTATTTACAGAAGGGAAGGGAGAGAGATAGAGAGCTAGAAACATCGATGAGAGAAAAACATCAATCAGCTGCCTCCAGACAACCCCCACTGGGGATGTGCCTGCAACCAAGGCACATGCCCTTGACTGGAATCGAACCTGGGACCCTTGAGTCTGCAGGCTGACACTCTATCCACTGAGCCAAACCGGCTAGGGCTGCCAGTCCATGTCTTGCATTTCCATGGAAATGGGTGGAATCCACAGCACTCTGGCCTCAGGATGCCGGCCAGGCGTTCCAGGCAAGCAGAGAGGGAGCAGGGTCACCGGGCTGGGAGGAATCAGGGTTCAAGTGGGAGGTCAGGAGGTTTCTCATCGGGTGACAGTGGTTCCAGGGCATCAGAGGGGGCGAGAGAGCAATTGGGTGGCTGTCCCAGAGGCAGAGAGCCCAGGCAGCAGAGAGCAGCCCCTGAATGCCAATGCAGGGGGGATTACTGGGCTGGCAGATCCTCAGCCTCTTCCATAGAAATGCCGTAGGCCAGTGGTCGGCAAGCCATGGCTCGCAAGCCACATGTGGCTCTTTGGCCCCTTGAGTTTTTAACAAAGGCCAGCGTAGGAGGACCCTAATCTACACTAATAAAAGTGACCATCCCTCCACTACGCCCAACAGCCAATCAGAAGTGAGAATGCAAATTAACCCAAAAAAGATGGCAGTTAATTTGTATAAGCAGGCGAGGAGCAAAGACTGAAGACAGCATAGAAGGAGCGAGGCAGCAGAGAAGGGAGGGAGCAGTGGATATGGGAGCTTTGTTCCTTCTCTGCTGCTTTGCTCCAGCCGCAAGAAGCCCCATTCTTGCAGGAATACCCTCGAGGAAACCCTATTCTTGCAGGAATCTTTCTGCAACAGGCCTCTAGTTAAGTTACTAACAATGTACCTACCTATATAGTTTAAGTTTAAAAAATGTGACTCTCAAAAGAAATTTCAATCATTGTCCTGTTGATATTTGGCTCTGTGGACGAATGAGTTTGCCAACCACTGGCCATAGGCCCATTGGGCCGTGGCTGGAGGTGGGTGCAGGGTTAGGGTTTCCCATTTCCTGGGTGCATCCACCCAAATCTCACACGGGGCTGTGCTCCTGAAGGACTGGAGAGAGACCTGCTGTGATGGTGCGGATTTTATCACGCCTCTTCTCCTCCTATTCGGGGACCTGGACTCTGAGAACTCCAATCACTTCCCTTCAGGGCTGGAGGAGAAGTGGAGGGAAAGAAGGAGAGGTCAGGGCTGGGGGCGGAAGTGCAGGCATGGGGTGCTCTCTGCTGGCTGCTGGCAGCCTTTATCGGGTGTCCTCGCCCGTGGCGTCCCCAGCTGGCGTGGCTGTGGACACGGGCCTTGGGCGTGGGTGCTGGCTGTCGAGAGCAGAGCTGGCAGAGCTGAGGCGCCTCAGAGCACAGGCTGGGAGCTGCGTGTCACCGGGGGCAGGATGCTCTGTGCTGTCCCTCCGCTGCACCCTGAACTTGAGAGATAAAAGCTGAGCTGACTCTTAAGCACACCTGCCCTGTCTTTGTTGGAGAAGAGTTTATTTCCTCACAGTTGTCTTCATTGCAGAGATAAGAGATGGAACGTGTGTGGCCTTTTCTTCCCCCCATTTTTTTTTTTTCTTTCAATCTGTTTAGGACACAGCGCTCTGCACCTCGCAGCCAAGCACAGCCACCATGAGTGCCTCCGGAAGCTCCTGCAGGTAAGACAGGCGGCGGCTTCCCGTCACACCGGATACGTCCATGGTGTGACTGTGGCCTCATCAGTGAAGGAACAGGGGCTCTTTCTTTCCCTCTCCCTCCCTCTAGCTCTCTCTCTCCCCTCCTTCCCCTCCTGTTCCTTCCCCTCTCCCCTTCCCTTCTCTCTGTCTCTCTCCCCTCCTTCCCCTCCTGTTCCTTCCCCTCTCCCCTTCCCTTCTCTCTGTCTCTCTCCCCTCCTTCCCCTCCTGTTCCTTCCCCTCTCCCCTTCCCTTCTCTGTCTCTCTCCCTTTCTTTCTCCTTCTAACTCCACCCCAGACCCTGGGCTTCCTCAGAAGTTTCGCTCTGACAGCACCGGGAGGAGGAGATGGTTTCCATGGCAATGGCACTGGTGGGGGATTTGGAGTGTCCTCCTGAAACCCAGCTTTTCCTTCCCTTTCGTCGGCTCCCGGGTTCCTCTCTGCAGAGCCCGTTAACACCTCTCTCCTGCTGGTGGGGCCTCCCCGCATAGGCCTCTGCTCCCCCAGACTAAAGGCCTCTGCTCTCCCAGGCCCCTCTGCGGCCCTCAGGACCGGGCGGTTCCCGCCAAGCAGAACCCCACCGTCCCTTCCCTGTACGGACTCCATGAGCTGTGAGTGCTTAGGTCTCAGGGTCTTCGTTTTACCCTTCGCACGATTTTAAGCTGACTGCCTGGTTCCACCACCTGGCCAGGAAGCTTACAATGATCGCTTAGGGCCGTGGTCGGCAAACTGTGGTTTGCGAGCCACATGTTCTTCCACAAAATACCACGGCCTGGGCGAGTCTATGTTGAAGAAGTGGTGTTAGAAGAAGTTTTTAAAAAATGTGGCTCTCAAAGGAAATTTCAGTCATTGTGCTGTTGGTGTTTGCCGCTATGGACCAATGAGTTTGCCAGCCACTGGCTTAGGGTGACGACCTCCGGAGAGCTTTGAAGGTGACTGTTTAATGCGATCCCAATGGCCCCTTCCCCAAACAGCCAGCTGCCCGTGGCAAGGCCAGCTGGTGCTTCCAGGAGCAGCACTGCCCCGCGTACTGTCCGTCCGGCTGCTGTCCGGCCGGCTCGCCCTGGGAGAGCTGGGGGCCCGCATCTTGCTGTCACTGGGCCTTGCCATTCTGGGGCAGAAACCGGGTCCCAGCCCATAGCTTGCCCTGCTCTGCTGGTCACGCAGCTTCTGGTCTTGCTTGACCTGGTGCCAGCCGCCACCAGCGCCAGGAATGCTCAGTCTTCCCGGGCTGACGCAGAGTTCAAGGAAAACTGAACGGGACCTGGCTTGCTCATTGTGTTTACGATGAGGCTTCTCCCGGGAAATGGGAGAACTGGTCCGCCCGCCTTCTCCAGAGAAGGGGGAAGCATTGACCTGCCTCCACGCCCTTGGCCTTATCTGGGTTTTTAAAACCTCCACTCCCACCCTGGCTTGGCGATCCAGACTTCGCATCTGGCTCTGATTTAAGGAAGAGTGAGCCTGACAGGCCACGGCTCCTCCCCGGCCAGCAGCAGCTATCCGAGCCCCTGATGTAATCGTCTATCTGGTTATGCAAATGGACTGGCTTTTCTGTGGAAGCTTTGAAGCCTTCAAACAGCTCCCTATGCCCTCTAAAATCAGGCCACCGCCTGGTGAGTGGTAACTTGACCTTCTTTTGTCCCGCCCCTGAAGGGCAGGCCGGCATCTCCCTCTAAAGGTGCCTGTTCCTGCCTTCCAGAGCTTACAGTTTCCTGCAAACGCTGTTTGCAGACAGTGGGTATAACCTGAGGCTTTGATGTCCTCCTAATGAGGTGCTTCCCTGGGGGCCTAGGCCTCTCCGGTCATCTTCACCTCCCCTCCTGGCAACCCATACCCTCTGTGATATGACCCTTGCTATGCCCTGCTGCTCCTCACCCCTGCACCCTCTGTCCCTTCTCTCTGTGGGCTCTCACTGTCTGTCTGCCGGAGACACCTGCCCTCTCCAGTGGCCGCATCCCCAGAGCAGCGAGTGCAAACAGAGCCTGTGAAACCCTTCACATTCCAAAAGGGTGGGCGCTCTCCCTCCCCTGGTAGGCCATTCCCCTCACTCTTCCTTCTAACCAGTGTTCCCTGAGCACCATGCCCCAGGCATTGCGCATACCGTATTTTCCGGCGTATAAGATGACCCCCTAATTTTACAGTTAAAACATAGGTTTAGGCCTATATTCGCAGTATAAGACTAGCCCGCACTTCCGAGGCAACACCAGTTCTTTTTTTAATAGACCGCCTCTCTGACTCTGGCCAATCTGAGCAGGCTTTTTTTCCGTTTCAAAAGTCGTCTTATACGCCAGAAAATACGGTACTATCTACTCATGGACCCCTATCCTGATGGGAATTACAGTCCGGTAAACAGGTACACGAGTACACATGACAAATTGCACAGCACTAAAAGGAGATGACCAGGTACTTGAGAGGGGTGAGGGGTGGTGTCAGGGAAGGCTTCCTGGAGGAGATGACAACCTGAGAACTCGGCAGTGTCAACAGCCGAGGGGAAAGCATTCCAAGCAGACACCACGGCGAGTACCAGTGGCTTAGGGAGAGAAAGGCACTGGTCAGGAAGGAAGGGAAGTCACCGAGTGGGCGCGGGCCCGGCATGTCGGGATGTGCATGTGGGCTGTGGTTACTCCATGCAGCGTGCCATGTGGAGAGCTTTTAAGGAAAGAGTGATGGTCACAGATTGGAAAAGTCACTCTAGTTGTAAAGTTGGTTAAAGGGGGAAAACTCAGAACGGAGACCTGCCGGGAGAGAGGCTGTGGGCCTGCCTAGGGGAGAAGGTGCTGGGCCACGCCAGGTTGTCATGGAGAAGCAGAGACATTGTCGTGGAGAAGCAGGGACATTGTCATGGAGAAGCAGAGACAGAGGAGCAGGGGCAGGTTTTGGGAGCAGGATTGACAGGGCGCGGTGGAAGGCAGACGTGGAGGAGAAACTGGAGATGACGCCGAGATTTCTGGCTCTCTGACTGAAATCGTGCTACACTCTTAACACACCAGGAAGTGTCGGAGGATCAGGCACGGTAGAGGGAGGAAGGAACCAGAAGATTGGGCTCCTCCAGGCTTGAGTGCCTGTGACTCATCAGGACCCAAATGGGAACTAGGCAGGGTGGGTCAGCAAGCCTCTCACTCAGAGATGCCCTCCCTGGGGTACACAGGCTCCAGCTCAGCCTGTCTGGGCTCCAGGCCTGGCTCTGCCGCTCACTGTGACCCCCACAGCTCTGTCCCTCCGTTCCTCATCCGAGAAGGGGGCTGAATGCTAGAATCCGACGAGGGTTGTCAGGGGCCTTACAACAGTTCTTCCTTCAATGCCTGGCACGTAACCGCGAATACGTGTACACCGTTTGTGTTGTCATTGTTCAGTCACGCGCTTGGGAGTCATTGGGTTCTGGATGTGGATGAGATTGCGGAGGGAGAGAGCTTAGGGAGCGAGCACTGGGGGAGGAGGAGTGGCCAGAGCAGGGGGAGGAAGACCAGGATTGGATGGGCCAGGCAGGGCCCTAGGAGAGAGGGAGTGCTGGAAGTGGGAGTGGATTGCAGGTGAGAGGCTGGTCAGAGGACAAAAGTGTTCATTGTCATAGGAAACGCAAGGATGGTTGGTGGCTTTGACTAGGACGTTTCTGTGGAGTCTTGGGGGAAAACACCGGGCGGCGGGTCCAGGAGTGAATGGCAGGTGAGGCAGTGTGGATTGTGTGGGCAGCGCTTAAGAAGAAGTGGATTTTGTTGGGGGGACGGAGCAGTAGGGCAGGAAACGGGTGGGGGAGGGGTGACAGCATCAAGATGAGACATTCTAGCGCATGTTTGTGAGCTGGTGGAGTGACCCAGGAGGAATGCGGTGGTGGGGAAGGGATGCGGGGGATGACTGTGTCGGGAATACATGGAGATGAGTCCCCCTCCCCATAAGGAGCTACAGGACCCTGGAGCTTGGCAGTTGGGACCCATTCGAGGTTAGACTCTTCCCAGAAGTCCCATCATGCTTTGCAGGAACAAGATGAGCTGCGTAGAACTGAGCTCTGTGACATGGGTTTGCTTCTTTTTGTCTTGCAGTCTAAATGCCCCGCCGAGAACGTCGACAGCTCTGGGAAGACAGCCTTACATTACGCAGGTGACTCCCATGCCCTGTCCATCCTCGGCCGTAGGACACACAAACTCTTCCTTTTCCTGACACCAGCCACTGCACTGACCGTGTCAGAGTGTTCCTGGGGCTGCTTTCTGCCATTGCTCCGAGACAGCCCCACTTTATTCAGTTCACAGAACTCACCCATTGCCACCAAACAACCAAAAAGAATGGTTTCAATTATGTTTTCATTAACTTAAGATGTTGTGTGTGGTGGTTTTTTTTAAACTAAGGGGTATTTATAAACATTCGTAGATTTCAAGTAATGTGTGATACAGATTTTTTAATTTGGTATTCATTAGTAACATCAATCCATTTATCAACATTTTGTTTCATTAACTGTCTTACAACTTCAAGTGGCAAAATGTTGACCCTGAACTCTGGGATGATGAGATTCGCAGGCTGCTTTTAGGGCTGGTTATGGAAAAGCCAGATCCAATGTTTGCCTCCAGGCAGCTGGCCGACACTGGCTTTAGGGCCGGCTGACACTGAAATTGAACGGAAATGGAAAACATCTCTTATTGTGCCTTCCTGGCGCCATTTCTGTTCCACGAGGCCGGAGTGAATGGAGGCACGCCAGGTGGACCCCAGCCTCTTCCTGGGGGTGGGGGGGCCCAGGCTGGGAGAGCGGCTTGGTGATCGGCCTGTGTTTGCTCCCCTCAGCGGCGCAGGGCTGCCTTCAGGCTGTGCAGGTTCTGTGCGAGCACAAGAGCCCCGTGAACCTCAAGGATCTGGTAAGCGCCAGGCAGCCTCGCGGGGGGGGGGGGGGGGGGGGGAGGCCATGGTTTCTGGGGTCCTGTGGGTGCTTCTGAGGCCACTGGCACTTGAGAGAATTGTTTGGCGAATTCTATTGCTTTTAAACCTAACTCTTCTGCATAATGGATGTAAGCATTATCCCCCATTGGCCCCTAAGTCATACATAAAACAGTATTTAAAATTTATTTTAGAGCCGAAGCCGGTTTGGCTCAGTGGTGGAGCGTCGGTCTGCGGACTGAAGGGTCCCAGGTTCGATTCCGGTCAAGGGCATGTACATTGGTTGCTGGCATATCCCCAGTAGGGGGTGTGCAAGAGGCAGCTGGTCGATGTTTCTCTCTCATCGACGTTTCTGACTCTCTATCTCTCTCTCTTCCTCTCTGTAAAAAATCAATAAAATATATTTTTTAAAAAAATTTATTTTAGAGAGAAAAGGATGGAGAGAGAGAGAGAGAGAACACGATGATCAGCTGCCTCCCGCATGCACCCCTACTGGGGATCGAACCCGCAACCTGAGTGTGTGCCCTAACTGGGAGTTGAACCCTTGACCTTTGCTCCAACCAACGGGGCCACACTGGCCAGGGCTAAATCAAACATCTGGTGCACTTCCCATGTATGCATGTTTGTACTTCAGGTTATATATGTGGTCTCCCATCACCTTAATTATTAATAAGACACAGTGTCTTGATTTTAAAATAAGTCTAAGGAGGAGTTTTATGCTTTTCTTTCGGTGCCCATGCATCACTGGGCACTGTGGTCAGGGTGTCCCAGCTGTGAGACCACCTCTGCCGACTCTAACCCTCCCCGGCTGTTGGGAGAACCAGCTGACACGTCCGTTGCGCCTGCTGACGGGCTCCGTTTCCTGCGGCTGCGTGGGAACGGATAGATACACACTTACACCTCATGGAGATACTGTGACGTGAGCATGTGGACTCTGTACATGCTTCACACTCCCTAAATTTCAGAACTCCCTGAATACCAGAAAGGATTATAACTGCTCAGAGATAATTTTTTAGAACTGTGTCTGCAATTCTACTTTAAAAGGAAACTTAATCCTTAAGCAGCAATCATAGTATAAGAAATCCCCATGTTAAACTAACTGGCACTGTTGTAACTTACCTTTCTCCTTTGCCTACTTGAAAACATCTACCTTGAACAGGACGGTGGACCACATTTGTAGGGGTTGTTCAAGAGGCAGAATGAACACTTCTCTTGTGATCGGTGTCATTTGACTAGGGCCCCTTCACTCTTTAGGATTGTGGAAATAGTTGCCTATATATTCTTCTGGTATTTTTCCATTTGCGTTATACTGTCATGCTTAAATTCTTGATGTATATGAGTTGGGGATCTAACTTTCCTTTTAGGAATTGCCAATTGTCATATGGTAGCATATTGAGCCAATCGTTCCTTCCATCCTCCTCTTTCTCTAGTCCTGAGTCAGTGATGGACAGACTCTTACCTCACGTTATGCTTTGGTACCTGGGGAGGTTATGGAGGAGGATGCCTTCCAAGGAAATAGTAGTGGCATGGGGCCCAGGTAGTTCACATGGAGAGGCTGCTGATGGGTGGCAGGACCTCCAGCTGCCTTGTGAAGCAAGTCCTTCATTGCTCCAGAACCATCTCTGAGCAAATCTGGAGCCTCGACATACTCTGTGTTCCTGTCTCTCTCTCTCTCTCTCTCTCTCTCTCTCTCTCTCTCTCTCTCTCTCTCTCTCTCTCTCTCTCTGAGTGGTGGCCCAGGGAACAAGCAACCCAGGAGGCAGAGGCTCCGAGGAAAGCTGAGTGAAATCCTGTGAGAAGAGTTGTGCTAAGATGTAGGGGCCCCGCTGGAGCACAGCTTATCACAGGGGTCATCCATAAGACCAACAGGACAATTCAGGACTAAATCTAGAAAGAAAAGGACCTTTGCAATTCTGGCATTGGTGTCAGCGATGAAAGTCTTAATCTGGTCAGGCCAGCGTGGCTCAGTGGTAGATCGTCGACCCATGAACCAAGAGGTCACGGTTCGATTCCTGGGCAGAGCACTTGGCTGGGTTGTGGGCTCCATCCCCAGAGTGGTGAGTGCAGGAAGCCACCGATCAATGATTCTCTCTCATCATTGATGTTTCTCTCTCTCCCTCCCTCTCCCTTCCTCTCTGAAGTCAATAAAAATATATTTTAAAGAAACAGAAATCTTCCTCTGAATTTGTCTCCTAGGATGGGAACATACCTTTGCTCCTCGCAGTGCAAACTGGCCACAGTGAGGTCTGTCGCTTTCTTCTGGATCATGGAGCGGATGTCAACTCCAGGGACAAGAATGGAAGGTACCACAGAACGAGAAACCACGTGATTTCGGGGATACGCACACTTTGAGAGTCTTGCAAAATATCAGAGCAGTATTGTGGACCATTTGTTAGGAAATGGCTTTTAACTTTGCTTTTTTATTTTCTGCCTTGATAATCAAGAATCTGTTTTGATTGAAAAAACATTTTTTCCCCCAAATCTCTGGGAATATCATTGAATGTGTGATGAGATTATTAAGCAATAAAGTGAATAAGCCATTTTAATGCCTTTTCATGCAAAATTAAACGTACTGGTTTCTTTTTAACAATGTATAGGTAATTTGAAATGCATGAGGTGGGGAAAAAAATGAGATTTGTGCAGATCCTATTTAAATTTCATCCTATTTAGAAGATTTTGTTTAGAAGATTATGCTTATATTATTTGGCTTAATATGGCATAATGATTTGAATGAATCTGAGGTTTTAATAAACAACTACCTCATTTTATCTTGATAGCATTCCATTTTGAATTCCCTAGAAGATGAAGTAGGACAGTTTTTTTTTTTTTTGTTTTTTTTTTTTTTTAAATATATTTTATTGATTTTGTACAGAGAGGAAGGGAGAGAGAGAGAGAGTTAGAAACATCGATGAGAGAGAGTCATCGATCAGCTGCCTCTTGCACACCCCCCACTGGGGATATGCCCGCAACCAAGGTACATGCCCTTGACCGGAATCGAACCCGGGACCCTTCAGTCCCCAAGCCGACGCTCTATCCATTGAGCCAAACCGGTCCCGGCGTAGTAGGACAGTTTTGATAGCACCTAATCTTCTTTTCCTTCTCCGTAAGACACGTGAAATGATTTCCCAGCAATCAGTTCTAACCGGACTCACTTGGTGTTTGCCTTTTCTTTAGGACTGCTCTGATGGTGGCCTGCGAGGCGGGCAGCTCCACTGTCGTGGAGGCCTTAATTAAAAAGGGTGCAGACCCAACCCTTGTGGATTCTCTCGGACACAATGCCTTACATTATTCCAAACTCTCAGAAAATGCAGGAATTCAAAGCCTTCTGTTATCAAAAATCTCTCAGGATGCTGGTATGTGGGAGAAAATAGCCTGTGTTGTTTTAAGTGTGTCCACTCCATTTTCCCCAAAGGGTACAGGAATGTGTGCAATCTGATACCTTTTGTTATTCTTTTAAACATATTCCTGAAGAAAAATGAAGTGTTAAGTATTGTGTGTATCCCCCACACCCTCAAAGTGGATATGAGTTGTTATGATTCTTATAGTTCTTTTTCCCCCCACTTTTTCCTCTGTAGATTTAAAGACACCAGCAAAACCAAAGCAGGTATTTATCTTGGGGAGAGGGAAGTTTTTTTCTTTTTCTTCTTTGCTTGTGAGAATTTGAAAAATGTTCCGATTAAACCACTCTGTGGTCCTCGAAAAGTCATAAAGACTCTGTTGAAAATATATAAGGAATGATATGTCCTTAGCATAAATGATTCATCGTTGTAAGGTGATAAATATTTTCTAAATGGTTTACCCTATCTCCAAAGCTTGCCCCTTTAAGCCTGCTGCTTATATATGTATCTTTTTCTGAAATGTACTAATATTTCCTATTGTTTTGAAAATGTTTGATGTGATTTAAGTTCAGGATGGATAACAATATTTTAAATATATAGGATATCGTATGGATTATAGATCCACATCCCTGGCAAAGTTAGACAGTTAATGAAAATCAGAGGTTTAGCTTTTCCCTTTTATTGGGGCTGCTTCGAAATGTCATTCTTGTCACACCGAAATTGAGATATTTGCCCTGATATTTTGGAGTTTTTTCTAAAAGCATAGCCACTATTGTTTCCTTTATTTTTAAAAAAAATATATTTTATTAATTTTTTACAGAGAGAAAGGGAGAGGGATAGAGCGTTAGAAACATCGATGAGAGAGAAACATCCATCAGCTGCCTTAACACCCCCTACTGGGTATGTGCTCGCTTCCAAGGTACATGCCCCTGACCGGAATCCAACCTGGGACCCTTGAGTCCGCAGGCCAATGCTCTGTCCACTGAGCCACACCGGTTAGGGCTGTTTCCTTTATCATTAATGAGATGTATCTTGGGCTGTTTATTTACACATCGGAGTTTTTGGAAAAATTATAAACACAAAACCCAGTACTGAATGTGTTACGCAGCAGCTGTGGTGCTTATTTATCCAGAGCCGTTAGAGAGGTCTCCCTGGCCCCTGGGTTTGCGTTCTCAGAGGAGAGGCATGGAAGTCATGCGGAGTGGGAGATACTGCTGCTCTGCGTGAAGATGAGAGCTAGACTGGGGCTGTGTCCTGGGTTCTAAGCAGTGGTCCAGGACTCCTTGCCCTCCACTCCCCCAGGGTCCCACCCCAACACCCGCTGGTTTTGTCCTGTGTTTTTTATTCTCTTGCTGGTAAAGCATGGGCTGCCGAGAGAGAGCTGTGAGCATGCATGTGGGCAGATGTTTATGTGGGCAGATTTCTGGCCTTGGCACCATGAGAAATGCATGAACCGCGCAGGTGTTTCTCTTTGTGGATGAAGCTACGTACTCAGACTTTACTAACCTCACTAACCCGCCTCCGTTCTCTGGCCTGTGACAACTTTCAGCATGACCAAGTGTCTAAAATAAGCTCAGAAAGAAGTGGAACTCCAAAAAAACGCAAAGCTCCACCACCTCCTATCAGTCCTGCCCAGGTAAAGCCCCCACAGCCGCCGGGATCACGCACAGCAGGGCGCCGCCTTGTCCTTCTGTGTGTCCCCCGAAAAGAATGTTCTAGAGTTGAGCCTTTAAGGGCACATGGGAGGTTTTGCTTTACAAATTGTGGTCTGGAGGATTGTGATGATTAGAGTGGAAATAAGGCTGATTCTTATTTCTAAACGGAAGAGTTGAGCCGTATCTTTTTTCTTTCAATATGTTATATTGGGTTTTTTTTACAGAGAGGAAGGGAGAGGAATAGAGAGTCAGAAACATCGATGAGAAAGAAACATTGATCAGCTGCCTCCTGCACACTCCCCGATGGGGATGTGCCTGCAACCAAGGTACATGCCCTTGACCGGAATCGAACCTGGGACCCTTCAGTACACAGACCGACGCTCTGTCTACTGAGCCAAACCGGTTAGGGCTGAATCTATTTTTTTTTTTTTAATATATTTTTATTGATTTCAGAGAGGAAGGGAGTAATGGAGGGAGAGATAGAAACATCAGTGATGAGAGAAACATTGATCGGCTGCCTCTTGCACACCCCCTACTGGGGATCAAGTCCGCAACCCGAGCATGTGCCCTGACCGAATCAATCTGGAACCTCTGGCTGGTCAACGCTCAACCACTGAGCCACACTGGCCAGGTGAACAGTATCTTTTTATTAAGCCTCAAGGAAATTTCTCAACGTCTTTATGACCGAGACCTTTTCCTTAAGTTGACAAGTTCGGTTCCTGTGGGCCCTCCAGCCCTAGTGTGAAGGGCAGGAGAACGGGTAGCTGGGGAAACAGTTAGTGAAAAATGAGTATTAGTTGGTTTCTGAAAACACTGTTAAAATATATTTGCCTTTCTAGTTACATTTAAGGCTGACTTACAAGCAGCTCTCATGCCTGGTCATAGTGACTGCTGCTTAGAGGAGGAAGCGCAGGTGTCTTTGAAATGGCAATAAAAACAGGCTTGTTATTAAAAGAATCCTAGGCCATGAAAAGAATAATCCTTATTGAGAGCAATATCTCATCTGATAAGTCATTTTCACCATGTGAGCATATTCATTAATAATATTCTCCACCTGCAATATAAGTTTTATCGATTATTGAAGTTAATTCTAGTAAATATAGGAGCAGAGCCATTTAGTTGTGTCCTGCAAACTTTCAGGAAGTATTTGAGGTTTCTGAGTCGCCCTGAGGATGTGTTACCCCCACAATAATCGGGCCTGAGGAGGATCACGGTTTGGTTGGTTTGCTTTGCTGAGATGCGTTGACGCTGGCGGAGAAAGGACTCTGACGCAGCCTCGTCACCAGTGGTTCTCATTTCCTCTTTCCAGCTGAGTGACGTGTCCTCCCCGAGGTCAATAACTTCAACACCAATTTCCGGAAAGGAATCAGCATTTTTCGCTGAACCACCCTTCCAGGTATTTCCTTCCTGTGTTCAACTTGGCTCCTGAATTGTAGGAAACCTAGTAGGTTTGGTTTAAGTTATGCAACACTGGGCAAAACAGAATGTATTTCTCAGTGATTGATTCACAGACTTCTCATCCCGAAGCACACTTGATTATTTCCCTGGCGTGGGCGCCATACCAAAAGAATAGGATGAATAAATTGCATTTATTAGCTAATAATTAATTTGTTCATTTGATAAAAAGGGACAGAGGGGAAGCTTATCTAACCGCCAGTCTTCTTACTAAACTGAGTTGATACAGTGCCAATGAGATGAATATACTCTCTGATGTCTTACTGAGAAGTAACTGTATATTTTAAATTGAACCTTTTCATGATTGTAACAGTAATATGTACTTACTTTAGAAAAACTATAAAAATCCATTAGGTTTTATTCCACCTGGTGTTGTAGACTTGTGGTTGGAAATTATTTTAGGAATGGGAGGGCATTTAATATCTATTTACCTAATAATCACTAGGAAATTACACGTGGGGAGAAAGTAAAGTTTCTGAATGTTAAAGTGAAATTTCACTGGTTTAATTGTATATTTATTTCCCCCATCTAAGAGTTACAAAAATAAATTTTCTTTTAACTTGGAAGCACTTGGATCTGAAAAATATTCTATCAACCCATCATTCCCCTCACCTTAACTAGGTTTTACTAATAAACTCTTAAGATGAATATAAATATGCAAGGCAAGGAAGTTACACTCTTACAGTTAATACCCTAATATGCTTATGGCTTCAAAGAGGCTATAATAGCACACCTTGTTATTTTCTGAAATAGAGTGTATAAAGACCATGAAAAAAACAAGAAGATGAAAAGTGACCCCAATTAGAATGGCTAAAATTTAAAGAGATTAAAAATACTAACTGTTGGTGACGAAGAAGGAGAATTAGAGCTCTAATGCTCTTGGTGGAAATGTCCAATGGTACAGCTATTTGGAAAAACGTTGGCACAGTTGTTGTTTTTTTGTTTGTTTGTTTATTTGTTTTAAGTTCAGCATATGATTTAGCCATCCACTCATGGATGTTTACCGATGAGAAATTAAAAATGTATGCCTCAAAAAAATCTTCGCACAAATATTTATAGCAGCTTTGAGTATCCCTAAACTAGAAGCAATCCAAATGCCCTTCAAGAAGTGAATGGATTGAGAAAAGGCAATTTATCCACGTAACGGACTATGACATGACCATAAAAAGGAATGGAGTGCTGGCCAAGCAGTATTCTAGATGAATCTGGAAGTCATCATGCTGGATGAAAGAGGCCAAACACAAAGAAATTCATACCCTGTGACATTTGGTTTATAAGAAACCTAGAAAAATGCAGAAAGGGGAGTGGTGGATGCCTGGGAATGGGATGGGCAGGTACTGGACGTGGCAAGAGGAAGTGTTTGTTTGTTTGTTTGTTTGTTTGTTTTTAAGAGGAAGCTTTTATAAGTGATGGAGTATTCTATATCTTGATGGTAGTGGTGACTCCATGGGTGTATATCTGTTAGAACTCCTCATATTACTGGGCGCACTGTATTGTAGGTTAAGTAGTTGGAAAATAAAACAGGCGTACATTTTTTAAAGTGAAAAGACAGCTTTCGGTAACATCAGCACTTGCCTAGAGTAAGCCACTGCATTTTTAGCATTTTGGCTTTTACGGAAGTTCCTTTGCTGAAAAATTCTCCCTTCTCGTGGCTGTGGCTCGTGTCCCTGAAACATGGTCTTTTCTGGCCAGTCAGCACACTTTGTTTTGAAATGACACTCTGACTTTGAAGTTACAGGAACGTTTGCCATGTATGAACAGATATTCAGGTACTTAGGTTTAAAAGAAACCTTCGGGGGATTGTCGGTCCAAGATCATACATAGAATTTTTATTTTGTGATAAAATTACCTTTATCTTCTCTGACAGGTATCTACTAACATTTCTCTTAGAAATATTAATAATAACATATTAATAGCAGTTAATGTATAAAATGATAAAGCTAAAAAGTACTTCTCGTGTATTTTATTTACTTATTTACTTATTTTTATTAAATTATTATCTGTGTACATATTTTAACATTACCCCCCCTCCCATATATACCCTCCCTCCCCAGAGTTTTGTGTCCATTGGTTGTACTTATATGCATGTATACAAGTCCTTCAGTTGATCTTTTATCTCCCCCAGATCTCCCTACCCTACCTGCTGTAATTTGACAGTCTACTTGTTGCTTTACTGTCTCTATATCTATCTTTTGGTTCATCAGTTTATAATGTTCTTTATTTTCCATAAATGAGTGAGGTCATGTGGTGTTTCTCTACTTCTCGTGTATTTTAATCAGTATTTCCCAGATAGGTAAAACTTTTACTTGACTTCATTATGAAAGTGCCAATCTAAGTTTTAGGATCTTGAGAGTTATTATCATCTTAGAAGATATTTGTACTATACTTACTAAATGAAATTCCTGGAAAATGTTTTGAGAAATTCTGGAACTTCTAATGTTTTAGCAATTACACTTAAGATAATGATCGCTTCTATTCACTTATATTTTAAAATAGCTTCTTTTTTTTTTTCTGCTGGGCCGGTGTTGCTTAGTGGTTGAATGTAGACCTATGAACCAGAAAGTCACAATTCAATCCCAGTCAGGGCACATGCCCGGGTTGTGAGTTCAATCCCCATTAGGGGGTGTACAGAAAGCAGATTAATGATTCTCTCTCATCACTGACTTTCTCTCCCTCTTCCTTTCCTTCTCCCTTTCTCTCTGAAATCAATAAAAATTTTATTTAAATATATACTAGAATACCTTCTTTTCTTGAGATGTTTCTAGTAAGATAACACCAGGGAGGAAATGTTGCTTGATTCCGCTGCGGGATGTTACAATCAGGAATATTCTTGTAAGTCACCTTTGTGTCCCAGCAGGCCGAGATCAGCTCCATACGGGAGAACAAGGACAGACTGAGTGACAGCACTACAGGTAAGCTGGAAGCGTCTGCTTCTGTCCTTTTGACTCGCCTCTGTTCCATGCGAGCAGAGGCCAAGCGGGGCTCTCTGAGTGGGATGTTCCAGGGCAGAGGTATGGATGCAGAGTGAAAGAAGCAGCCCCCTGTGGAGAATATAGAGGGTCTGAGGGAAACCTTGAATCTGAGACTTGGGGGATATCACAGGAAGACATCATGAGTCATAAACCTGAAGCAGGAGATTGGGCCAGATCGTAGAGGTCCTCGTGTAGATAAAGGGATTTGGAGATGTAGAGGGGGAGCAATGAAAGCCCTTTGACCCGAAGGAATGGCCCGATCAAGGCCTATTTTAGGGAGATTAGTGGGGTGCAGACTATGTTTTTACTAGGGTGAGGGGAGACGGAGAGATTTTTTGGCAGCCGTTTGCAGTTTCACGGTAGCTGATAAAGTTTGAAGCTGTGTCATCATGGTGGGGTTAAGAAGTGAGCCAGCTTCCAGAGGTTATTTCTAAAAGGATTCGCGGAAATGATATTCCTTAAGCCACATGTGTCAAACACAAGGCCCGCGGGCCAAATCCGTCCCGCCAGGCCTTGCAATGTGGCCCGCACAGCGCTGTCATCACTGCACTCCGCTGCGTTTCCATCACAATGACAGTTTATGACTGTTCAGTAAACCATTCGGCCCGCGATTTAGGCTGGATTTTAGATTTTGGCCCCTTCTCTGATTGAGTTCGACACCCCTACCTTAAGCCCTGGAGGGACCAAAAGCAGCCACGTTCTGCTGAATCCGGTGAACGGGAAAATGTCTGATCCAATTCGTCCATCTGCGGGCGAGGTTCTGTGCATCCAGGCGCCTGGGATTGTGGTGGCAATGCCCCAGGAAGGAAGCCCCAGGACCGAGAACTGCTGTTCCCTTTCCCAGCCGCTGGGGGCTCTCATCCTCACTCAGGACCAGGAAGAAGAACTGGATTGGGCGGAAAGGGGGTTTGTTAGAGGTCAGAGAAATAACTGTTTAATTTTTAAACATTAGTTTGCATTGCCTTGCTCTTTCCCCCAGGTGCCGATAGCTTACTGGATATCAGTTCGGAAGCTGACCAACCAGATATTCTTGCCCTATTACAAGCCAAAGTTGCATCTCTAACTTTACACAATAAGGAATTACAAGACAAGTTGCAGGTGGGTAGACCGATCGCAGACTGTTCTGTTGGGTTAAGGTACTGGGTTTTTCAGGGTTAGTCAGATGATATTTCATCTTAAACATCCACGTTCGTTTCTTCTTTTTTAATATGGTTAGCCTTAAGCATTTCAAAGTTCCGGGTTATTTCTTTTTTGAAAGAATTTATGCATTAGCCCTATTTCTGTAAGTTTCTAACTTGGTAAATTATACATAATTATATACATACTATGATATATAACAACTTATGTATGTGTGTGTGTGTGTGTGTGTGTGTAAAGGTATGTGATTAGCCCTTCATTTAGTAAAGTTGATCATTTAGCAGATTTAAGAAGTAACTTAAGATTTAAGCCCACTCATTGCTCATTTCAGCATAAATAATATGAGAGATAAAGGGAAATTTTGAGTCCGAGGCTTTGCAGCCACTGCTTTTGTTTTATTTTATATTATTTTATTTTATTTTATTTTATTTTTAATATAGTTTATTGATTCTTTACAGAGAGGAAGAGATAGGGATAGAGAGTTAGAAACATCAATGAGAGAAACATCGATTAGCTGCCTCTTGCACAACCCCCACTGGGGATGTGCCCACAACCAAGGCACATGCCCTTGACCGGAATCGAACCTGGAACCTTTCAGTCTGCAGGCCGACGCTCCATCCACTGAGCCAAACCGGTTTCGGCAACAAATGCACTGCTTTTAAAGGGCGTTAAAAATCTGTTCGAATCGAGCACAGGGGAGGCTTAGTGTGGGTAATCTGACTCCCGGGTCTCGGTGATAGTTCCTCACGAGGCCAGAATACACCTACAACACGGTCCCTCTGCTCGCCCACATAGAGGTTCCAGGGCTGTTCTCACCTCCCAAGTGCTTGCTCACCTAACGGTTCTGTGGGTGCCATTTCATTGCTCGTGCTTTCTTTTTTTTTTTAGGCCAAAACCTCCAAAGAGGCAGAAGCAGACCTGAGCTGTGACTCTTTCCATTCCACGCACACTGACCTGGCCCCGTCTCTCGGGAAACCTCGGGAACCCTCGCCCCCCAACTCCCCGAGGCAGCCCCCCGCCGAGGGCGATGCCAGAGGCCAGCAGCTCCCGGAGGCGCTGCGGGACCTGCAGCGGCGGCTGGAGCGCTCCGAGGCCGAGAGGCGGCAGCTGCAGGCCGAGCTGCAGGCCCGGGGGCCGGAGCCCGGGCGCCTGAACACCCCCGAGGTGTCCGAGAACGGCTCGGACCTCAGCCAGAAGCTGAAGGAGACGCAGAGCAAGTACGAGGAGGCCATGAAGGAGGTGCTGAGCGTGCAGAAGCAGATGAAGCTGGGCCTCGTGACGCCTGAGGGCGTGGATTCGTACTCGCACGGCGGCGGGGGCCTGAGGGTCACCGAGGAGGAGGTGCGGGCGCTGAAGCAGGACCTGCAGGCCGCCCTGGAAGAAAGCGAGAGGAACAGGGAGAAAGTGAGAGCGCTGGAGGAGAAGCTGGCGGAGAGGGAGCAGGGGCTGGGGAGCCGGCCGTCTGAGGAGGAATATGAGGACATGAAGAGCTCCTATGGCTCCGTCATCGAGACTCTGAATAAGGAGAAAGCCCTTCTGCTCGAGAGATACCAGGAGGCCCAGGAAGAGATCTCGCAGCTGAGAGATGCTCTGCAAGGTCCGACGGCCCAGGAGCCGGGCGAGGACCCCGGGGACATGAAGGAAGCCATGCACAGAATGATCGACGAGCTCAACAAGCAGGTGAGCGAGCTGTCGCAGCTGTACAAGGAGGCGCAGGCCGAGCTGGAGGACTACCGCAAGAGGAAGTCCTTGGAGGACGTGTCTGCTGTCGAGTCTGTCCCCCGCGCCGAGCACGAGCAGCTGGTGCAGGCGGCCCGGCTGGCCAGGGCGCAGGCGGAGGAGGCGCTGGCCGAGGCCAAGGCCCAGCACGCCAGGGCGCTGGGCGAGCTGGCCCAGCTCAGGCAGCTGGCCGACGCCCAGAAGGAGAACTCGGTGTCCATCTCGGAGCACCTGCAGGTGGTCACCACGTTGCGCTCGGCCGCCAAGGAGCTGGAAGGCAGGCTCGGCGGCCTCCAGGAGCTCCTGGCCAGCCGGGAGGCGGAGGTGGCCAAGCTGGAGAAGCAGCTGGTGGAGGAGAAGGCGGCGCTGGCCGAGGCCATGGTGCCCAGGCCCGCCTACGAGAAGCTCCAGGCGTCCCTGGAGGGCGAGGTGAGCGCCCTGGCCTCCAAGTGGAAGGATGCCGTGAAGGAGAAGGAGAAGGCCCAGGCGGAGGCTGCCCAGCTCAGGGGCGAGGCCATGCAGCTGAAGAGGGAGAAGGAGACGCTTCAGAGCCTCCTGAGAGCCAGAGAGCAGGAGGCCGGGGAGCTCCTGCCGAGGCTGCAGCGGGCGCAGGAGGAGCTGGCGGAGCTGCGGCGGCACTCGGAGAGCACGTCCCGGCTGGAGGAGGACAAGGACAGGAAGGTGGGTGAGGCCCTGGCCATTGAGCTTCCAGCTGGGGAGCCCTGGGGCCTTCTGGGGTCCACGTGTCTGCCATGTGTTCACACCCACTGGTGGCCAGTGCTCCGAGGCCCGGCCTACGCATCCCTCCGTCCCTAGAGCCACAGGAGGATAGTAGGTTAGGCGTTTATTTAAAGGAGCGGTGCTTCCCTTCTGTAGAGTTCTCACATACGGGATGCGTCCTTTTTCTTGAGAATGACTTTGCAGAAGCTCTGCCAAGGGTCAGGGCTCAGAAGTCACCCCACAGGCCGGAAAGCGCTGGTGACGGATCTTGGACTTGAACGCTTGGAATCCGGACAGATTCCTCTGTCGTAGGGAACCCAAATCCTTCCAGACCTAATCCCACATCCCTAAGCACCACGGGAATAAAAACTGCCTTTCCTGGCCCTCATTGTCACAGGTGTACGGGGGCGGGAGGACGGAGAAGGGGTGTGGGGTGCGGGCGATGAGAGATGGGCTGAGGAAGGAGCGTGGGGGAAGCAGGATGGCTCTGTGCTGAATCTGCGCTGCCTGCCAGTCCCCTGGGTCACATGCTCTGAGTGGCCTGGACTAGGCACTAGTGATCATTTATTCCTTGATGATGATGGATGCTTCCATGGAGCCTTCAAAGCCAAGGGGGCAGGGAGGGGGAAGAGGGAGAGGGATGTGTTTACTTTAAAACAATATGTCCAGAGATATCAGGGTTTCTATAACATATTCCTAATTGCCCATGCCAACAAATAATGTCTAAAATCCTGTTTCTGTTAAGAAAAAACAAGAGAGGGAAATCAATGTTACTATAGTGTTTGTTATCTTTATGCATCAAAACACAATATTTAATTGGGGGCCCTTATCCTATATAATAAAAGGCGAATATGCAAGTTGTCCCCTCTACCAGGAGTTTGACTGGGAGTTTGACTAAAGGTTGGGGCCGGCCGGCCAACCTCTCACATCCCCTCGCTGGGCCTGGCTGGCTGGACCCCACCTGTGCACAAATTCATGCACCGAGCCTCTAGTTTGAAGATAATGGCCTTAGAAGGCTTCGTGGGTTTGTCTGATTTTGTTGTGTCTCATTTTGGGGGTTTTCTTTGAAAGGTATAAAAGGAATTGTTCCAAAGTCTCAAGTCCTGGAGGCTCTCAGAGGCTGTGTTCAAGGCTTAGGAATACCTGGGATTTTGCTTCTGCGGGCACATGCTTGCCTGCTGGTAACCGCTTTCCTTTCTCACTAGATCCACGAGATGTCAAAGGAAGTCACCAAGCTGAAGGAGGCCCTGAACAGCCTCTCGCAGCTGTCCTACTCGGCCAGCTCCTCCAAGCGGCAGAGCCAGCAGCTGGACGGGCTGCAGCAGCAGGTCAAGCAGCTCCAGACCCAGCTGGCTGTGAGTGGGCTCATGCCGCCTGGTGGGTGGGGTGGAGGGCGAGGAGGACTGCATGCCTACTCCGCTGGGAGGGCAGGTGGGCGTGGCCGGGGTCCCAGCCTAAAGGGGTGAACTTCAGGGAGCAACTCACTGGTGCCCTCTTTGGTGAGGGCGAAGGAATTGGTCAAGTCTCCACTTACTATCTGCTGTTGGGGGTGTGGGGAGGGAGGTGGGACTCTGAGGAGGAGGCATCATCAGCGGGACAGTGGAGTAGGCGTGAACTTCCAGCCACCAGCTTTTTGCCCCTTCCCCTTGTTTCTCCATCTCGGACAGTGGCGAGCACTTTTTCTTGCTGGGGGCCAGGATCCCTGGTAGTTGCCTTATCTCTGGGTCTGTAGCTGTTTCTTGGCCCCGCCCCTTCCTCACCCGGACAGCCCTCTCCTATCTGGATTAGTTTCCTATGACTATTTCCTATGACAGGGCAGCACGCACTTGATTTAAGACAACACACGCTAATGTTCCTAAGGTTCTGGAGCTCATCAGTCTTACTGGACTACAGCCAGGATGTCAGCAGGGGGCTCTAGGGGAGATCCATGTCCTCGCCCTTCCTAGCTTTTAGAGGCCACGTGAATTCCTTGGCGTGTAGCCCGTGCCGCCATCTTCAAAGGGCAGCACTTCCAACCCCTGGTTCTGTCCTCCCATCTTCTCTTCCCACCTTTGACTTTGCTCTCTCTCTTAAGGACTCTTGGGATTGCATGTAAGGTGCACCCCAATCATCAGGGTACTCTTTCTCTCCGTCCCACCATCTTTAGTCACATCGTGAGGTCCCGTTACCATGCAGGGAACAGGCCCTGTGATTAGGATGTGGACATCTTCAGAGGCTCATTATTTAGTTACTACAATATCAGTTAAGGTTTCAGTTGACACAGGTATGTATTTTCCGAGTGAAACTGAGGGTTAGTCTGTTCTGGACCATCTCTAGCTTCCAGTTACAACTAGGATCTGGCTTTTAGGATTTCTCTGGGACAGAGCTGGTACTGGCACGTTCAGGTGTCTGCCATCCAGACTCTGGCTGGCCACCGGGGCCCACACCAGCTGTGCCATGCTCCCAGCGCTAGCCGTGGAGAGCAGTCAGGGAGGAGCAGATGCCTCCCGCTGTGTTCTGCAGGTTGTTTTTCTGAGAGAGAGGTGATCACAGACGTGTAGAGAAAGTGCTAATGGTTGCTACAGTCATTCTTAGAATTTCTCAAATTGTGTGTAAGGAGCTCCTCTGGGTCAATATTGTCCAAGGAGCTGATGGCATAAGAATGAGTAAGACACAGCCCCTGCCCTCACAGTTGATGTGTAATATGGCTTGCCATGTTCCTGATGCGGTAAGCATGCATCGATAAAGAGACGCCCACCATGCTGAGGGCAGAAGAGATGGGTGCTTACCCGGCCTGGGTGAGTCTCAGAAGGCCTCCGGCAGAAGGTGGTGCTCGTGCTGAGGACTGAGATGTGGCATGTAGCGAGAACACTTCCCGGGGCGTGGCAGCCAGGTCCGCGCTGCCTGCTGAAAGGACTGAGCCGGGAGGGGTCCGATGGCGCTGACGCATCCCAGTGGCGGGTGGGGGAGCCTGAGGCAGGTTTGCTAGAAGGACAGGAGATGGCGGTCAGAGGGTGGGATGCTCTCGGTTGAGTTTCAGAGGCAGAGACAGAGACAGGGCCATGGCCATGAGAGAGAGGGACTGGAAGGAGGAGGAGCCGGTCCCTGAGGCTGAAGTGGAGGAGCTGGGAGGCCAGGTGTTGGGTGGCTCCTCCGTGCGGGGGATGCTGCCGACAGAAGCCGGGATGGGCAGGAAGGCAGGGACCAGGGAGCGTTATGAATGCCTGCGTGGAGGTGACGGGAGGTGGGAGGAAGCAGCGGAGAGAAACCAAGCACACCTGCTGACGGCGTGGACGGCACAGGGCTGAGGTTTAAGGCTCTCCTGGAGTGGGAAGGACACAAGGCAACAATGACAGGAAGGCGATGTCAAGGAGTATTGGGAGGTTTCTGCGGAGTTTTGACCTCTATATGGCAGTGTCCATTTTCATGGTGAAGCAGGCGGAAGGCCTCTTTTTAGAAGAGCTGAGAGCTGAGGGAGGCTCCTGAAGTGGGCGCCCAGAGGAATCGGAGCGATCGCTCCACAAGGAGACGTAGAGGCCTCAGCAGCTGTGCGGAGGGACACAGAGGGCGATGCCACACTCCTCCTCCGTGCCCGCTGCTCAGGCACTGTGCTTCCCGGGAGCACGTGGTACCACCAACAGCGTGGCTGGTGGTAACTCCCTTTGGGAGAATGTAATTTTTAAAATATATATTATATTGATTTTTCAGAGAGAGGAAGGGAGAGGGACAGAGAGTCAGAAACATCGATGAGAGAGAATCATGGACCAGCTGCCTCCTGCACACTCCCCACTGGGGATGTGCCCACAACCAAGGTACATGCCCTTGACCGGAATCGAACCTGGGACCTTTCAGTCTGCAGGCTGCTGCTCTATCCACTGAGCATGAAAGAATGTATTTTTATAAATTAAAATAGTACTTGGTCATTGTAGAAAAGTTTGAAAATGTAGAAAACTCTGAAAAAGTTCCAAGAAATAAATTGTTAATAATTCAACCACTCAGAGATGATTACTTTCTGCATTTAATATATTTCCTTGCACTATTTACCTTGTGTGAATGTATCTGTATATTTGCATAAAGTATGTATATGTGTGTGTGTGTGTGTTTTTGTGTATGTATATATGCAACAAATTTGGGATTATAATAACCACTTCTTATATAAATTTTCATGCAAAAGTTGACATGCAAAGACATAAAATGGGTTTCTTCCCCCTGAGAATAAGGACAAGTGTTCAGAAACACACAGGCCTGTGAGCTCACAACAGTTTAAAAGCTTTCTCTGTGAGCACTGGACAGAGGGAGTCGCTGGGGAGCATCTGGCCGCAGCCCCCTGTAACACAGTGAAATGCTCTCTCCCTAGGAGTGCAAGAAGCAGCACCAGGAGGTCATATCGGTTTACAGGATGCATCTTCTGTATGCGGTGCAGGTATGGCCACACCGTGGAGTGTCTGGGTCTCTTAAAGGAATACTGCAGTTCACGTTGCCCCAAGTCTAAGGTGACCAGATTGTCCAGGTATTGGCGGGACAGTCCTGATTTCTAACAATTTTTCCCACATCCCGCGGCATTTTTAAAAAAGTCCTGATTTTTGGAAAGAATCTTTCCAATGTTTCCAATCTTTCCAAAAATCGGGACTTTTTTAAAACACTGTGGGATGTGGGGGGAAAAATTGTTAGAAATCAGGACTGTCCCGCCGACACCTGGACGATCTGGTCACCTTACCCAAGTCCCGTCTTCAGACCAGCAGAACGAATGAAAGTTCGAGGAGAATCCCGTACCTCGGGAAGCTTCCCAATGCTTTTCGCTCAGCTTTGGATTTTGTGCTGGGAACCCTGTCCTAACTACCGAAAGCAACCTGGGCGTTTCTACAGAAATAAGGAGGCCGCAGCTGCTGCCCCCTCCCCCGCCGCCAGCTGCCGCCTCAGGATCAGGAGCCTGGGCTTGATGCTGGAGGTCGATATTGTCCCTGTTGGTGGTTTGGCTGGCTGGACCCAGACTTGCTACGGAGACCCCAGAAACCCTTTGCTGGGCTCCGTTAGTCTCCACCTTTTCATCCTCCAGGGCAGGCGTCCTCAAACTTTTTAAAGTGGGGGCCAGATCACGGTCCCTCAGAGAGCTGGAGGGCCGGACTATATGAACTACTAATTCCTACTGTAACACCTCGGCTGCGCTCACTGCCCAAAAAACCTGGCGGGCCGGATCAGACTCCTCTGCGGGCCGCATGTGGCCCGCAGGCCGTAGTTTGAAGACCCCTGCTCCAGGGGTTCGAGAGCAGGTCCCTCCCAGACTCAGTTCCCCAGAGAAGTGGGGAAATGGCTGGGATAGCATTTCTTGGGACGACCAGCGGCCAAGGGGCTTCCTCCCAGTCAGCCGCCTCATTCCCTCCCTCGGTGAGAGAGGACTTCACCGAGGTCCCCACTGACTGCCTTCTGTCTGACCTTCCAGGGCCAGATGGATGAAGATGTCCAGAAAGTTCTGAAGCAGATCCTCACCATGTGCAAGACCCAGGCCCAGAAGAAGTAGAGCGGGTCCTCGGCCGGACGCTGCCCCCCCCCCCCCCCGCTGTCCGTCTCGGGTTGGATCGGAGATGTTGGCCGTCACTGCCGTTGTTCTCGCCCGCGGTGGGCACCAGGGGGCTGGCCCGGGAGAAAACTGCCCCCCAGAACCGCAGAGAGACCGGACAGCAGCAGAGGCGAGAGGCACCGTCATCGCCGCCAATGCCCCAGCCGGGGGCCGGCCGTGCCGGGCGGCTGGCCCTGGTGCTGGGCCCGGGCACCGTCACCCCTGAGCGATACGTGGTCCCCTCCACGCAGGAACCGCGGCCGGGGTTCCTCCACGCTGGCTGCCGTCCAGCACAGGGCAGCTCCCTTTGGCCTCTGGGTTTCAGTCCGCAAACATGGTTTGACTTCTGACCAGATGAGTGCAGGGCTGGTTAGGCGGTGCCCGCCCGGGACCCTTGACGTCCGTTCTGTGGATCTGAAAGTGCCGATTCCCTCTCCCCCCCACCCCCCCGTCTGCCTTAGGCGGCTTGTCCCCGCCCAGTCGGAGCCGGATGAGCACGGTTAACTAAGACACGAAGCTCAGAAACAGAAGCAGAAGCTGCCTGTAGCCGGCGTTCGGTGAACGGGCGCTGCACGGCCGCTCTGCTCACCTGCCTTCGGCCGCCTCCCGGAGCTCAGGAAGCCCGGCGTCCGTGTTCGACGGGGACCGCAAGCCGCGTGTTTACAGCCAAAGGAAGGCCTCAGCGTTCCTAACCTCAATTTTCTAAAAGTGTTGTTTTTTGTTTTTTTTTTCTCTTCTCTACAATATTTTTATGGGCTCTTAAAGATGTTTTCCTATTGAAACCCCTTGCATAAGGGAAATTCACATAGACTGTCTGAACAAGGTATTTTGTAGGTAACCAGGCGTAAGACTTTTTAGAAATAGGACTTTTTCCGCAGCGTTCTCAGCGATGGCGAAAGGTAGTTTTGTATGCCTAACCCGGTGTGAGCTGCCAGGCCCCTCAGAACTGGGGCGTCTGTCTCTTAAGAGAGTGAACCCTCCTGTGCCCAGCGAATACCTTAGAATGCCCGCTCCGTGCCCAGAGGCTCTCTGGAAGGACTGTCAGTCACAGCCCGGGTTCCAGCTTTGAGACAGGAACCTCGATGTGGTAACCATCGGGATGCAAAGCTAAGGCCTGTGGGGGGGAATAGGTCTGTTCCCTTTCTTTACTTTCAGGGTTTGTTTGTTTTTTAAATTTCTAACTTTCTTGCAACTTCCCTGCCAGCATGGCTCTTCCTGCGGGATGTAAACAACACAGAACTCTGCCGAGTGTGTGATGAACCACGCGGGCCTGCTCCGACAGCGCCCGACGCTGGGCCTCTGGGCCGGGGCCTAGGGAGCGGGCCGCACGGGGTGCCAGCCGGTGACAGCAGAGCACAGACGGCTTCCAGCTCTGTGTCGCTCTTCTGCGTTGTTTGTAGTCCAGCAGCTTGGAGAATGCTGCAGAGCAGTGTGAAAGGGCTTTCCACCACAGCACTTAGGGAAACACAGAACACACACACACACACACACACACACACACACACACACACCCCGCACAGAAGGCTGCAGAGCAGGAGACCTGAGGGACTGGGATGCTTGACAAGCACAGCCTTCCGTGGGGTCAGGATGCATATTTATTGCAGGCTCTCTGGCTAACTGTTGGAACGCCGAACGCCATAGGTTAGCACGCTGCCTTTGTGATGTAACGAGGGTTTGACGGAAATAAACTTTGGTTCCTTTTTGCATCGCTGCTGGTGCTTTTTGTGGCTCCTCCCAACCCGAGCTCCCGTCTCCATGGGCAACAGCTCTTTCCGCGGGATCTGAGGCATTCTGGGCCTGAGGGTCCGCCGAGGCTGGCATTTCACTTTCCCCTGTGAATGAGGAAGCGCGCCTGGCACCCTCTCCTGGGCCTTCGTCTCCCACTTGGGAAGTCCTGGGGACTGTTCTCTGCCAGCACACACACCTCGTGCTTTTAAACCAGGTCGGGGAACCTTTTTCTGCCAAGGGCCATTTGGAATATTTTTATAACACCATTCTAGGGCCATATGGGAATGATCAACTTAAACATTAGCCTGTTGGCCGAAACCTGTTTGGCTCAGTGGATAGAGCGTCAGCCTGCGGACTGAAAGGTCCCAGGTTCCATTCCGGTCAAGGGCATGTACCTTGGTTGCGGGCACATCCCCAGTAGGGGGCATGCAGGAGGCAGCTGGTCGATGTTTCTCATCGATGTTTCTAGCTCTCTATCACTCTCCCTTCCTCTCTGTAAAAAATCAATAAAATATATTTTTAAAAATTAGCCTGCTGTATTTGGTCAAACATTTAACTAACTCACCCCGAAGGCCTTGGCAGGGCCAGACCAAACGATTTCACGGGCCTTCTACAGCCCATAGGCCGAACGTCCCCACCCCTGCTGACCTGTTGCATAATATGCCATAGTATGATTGTGCTGTGTTTTATTTAACTAGTTCCTCATCGATGGGCATTTAATCTGCTTCCGGTGCTTGACAGCCCTGACAGCAACACGATGACTGTCCTACCTGTACAGACCTACACGTACGCGTGAGGCTTTTCACCCTCCCTCCCACCACGCGGTACAGGAGCACAGGGGAACAGGAAGGGGACAGTGTATGGGAAAGAGTGGCCTTGTTCTTCACAGTGGTGAAAAGCCGTCAACTTATTTCCCGTACATAAACCTAAGACGGTCTCCAAAGCTTTCAATAATGAGCCCCATCCGTCTTAAGATACACACATGAGGTCATGTGTGTAAACCTAAGACGGTCTCCAAAGCTTTCAATAATGAGCCCCATCCGTCTTAAGATACACACATGAGGTCCTGGGTGGAGAAAACGCTCCCCAACATGTTGAAGCACAGCCTCTCTCCATGGGACACGGCGGGGCGTGCCGGGTGCTGACCGCAGCAGGAACATCACCCAGCAGAGGTGGGGTGACGCTTTTAAGCTAAGTTCGCAGGCAGGACAGAGTGAGCTGGAAAAGCAGCAGACCCAGGCATGCAGGGAGCGGAGAGAACTCCCCCGCTCAGCAGAGAACTGTCGACATTGTGGGAGTGCGTGGCATGTTTGGGACGGGGGGAGACGGTTGTCATACGTGAGCCGTGAGGGCTGGTGGAGGGAGTGATCTGTGTGGGTTCTAGCCGGTGGGAAGGCTAACAAACCCCCAGTAGATGGAGGTGAGGGAAAGGGAAGAGCCATTTCTGCACATTCATTACAGACCAGGCCCCACACGGGGGGAAACAGGACATTCACGATCAGATGTGCCTGGTTACAAATGGAGCCTGTATCGGGGAGAGAGAGGAGCAGGTCGGCCCAATGATGTAACATTTTAACAGTGTGGGGGAGAGAGGCAGGGGGTTCCCTATGGGTCACCTCCAGGCATTTTAAACCTGGGCCATTTCGTTCAGGTTAACCACTCTGGAAGGCAGAACAACACCCCACCCCCTGCCCCCCGCCCCCCGCCCCATCCCCACTGCCTCCAAAGAAACCCATGTCCTCATTCCCAGAACCAGTGAACATCTGATGCCGTGGGGCAAAGGTGAGTTACGTTTGCAAATATACTGAAGGTCCGCAATCAGCTGACCTTAGAAGGAGATGGTCCTGAGGTGATCAGAGGGGCCTTTACAGGGGGAGGAGTCTGTGCTAAAGAGGCTGCATTGCCAGCTCTGAGGGGACTGGCTGAGGCCAGGAACCAGGAAGGCAGGGGTCTCTAGAAGCTGGAAGAGGCAAGAAAACAAAATTCTGCCCCAAGGCCCCTGGAAAGAGCCCATCTTGTCTCAGCCCAGCGATGGCCTCTGTAGGCTTCTGACCTCCGGACGGCTGTGATGAGATGTGTGGTCAGTCACCACGTTGGACTGAACCCAGGTAGGACCTCCATACAACCTTCTAAGGCACATGTGTCAAACACAAGGCCCGCGGGCCAAATCCGTCCCGCCAGGCCTTGCAATGTGGCCCGCACCGCGCTGTCATCACTGCACTCCACTGCGTTTCCATCACAATGACAGTTTATGACTGTTCAGTAAACCATTCGGCCCACGATTTAGGCTGGATTTTAGATTTTGGCCCCTTCTCTGATTGAGTTCGACACCCCTATTCTAAGGTTTGGCGGGTGGGGGCAGAACTCTGGTCTGCCGCTGCCCACAACAAGCCTGGGGAGTGAGTCCCCTTGCTTCTTAAACCCACCACTTCCCACCTGAGTGATCTGCCTTCTTCTTTGGTCTCTCCCTGCCCCCCAAGTATGGGGACCTGCCTGTTTCCGATTCCACCCAGGGAGCTCCCGAGGAGGCTGAGAGGCCAGAAAATGTGTCTTAGGAAATTACACAAGAGAGAGTTTATTTGGATTTCTTTGTTCTTAAGTTTCACCGTTCCTGGGGCTGGAATAGTTTGGAAACACTCACATTCGCCTTGGGGCTGGAAGAGTCTAGAAGTACCCTCTACACATGCTTCCTCTACGCCTTTTGCAATGGCAATGCCTGCCTCTCCCACCTCAGGATCCACGAGGGAAGGGGAGTGAGCACCCTCTAAACCAGTGTTTCCCAGAGTGTGGTACGCTTACCCCAGGGCTACGGGAAGAGTTTGGTGGGGGCACGCGTTGCACCGGAGTTTGGTGGGGGATATGCACTGCACCGTGCTTAGCTGCGCCTAATTCTACGTTCTCATGAGTACGAGGGGTGCTCAGCATTACGAGAATTATAGAAGGGGGACACATGTCAAAAGTTTAGGAAGCACTGCAGTCTAAACCACTGTCCGGCCAGATTGCTAGCAGCCTTCCAGAGGGAGCGCACAAGCCTAAAGCCCATTTACTCTACGGTTTACATTTGGGGACAGGGTGACGATGGCAAGGAGAAGGTGTCACCAAGACTGGGGCCTCTCGCTCTCTACAGGCCTCTTACTTGGATTTCCAGCGTTACAGATGAGGGCCACGTGCTTCTGGTCAGAGCTAATGAGGGAGGTGGGAGCAGAGCACGGCTGTCCGAGGGGAACTCGGAACCTGCCCTGGTCCGGCCCTCCCTGCCCAATGCTCCGCACCAGCAGGGGTTCAGGTCAGAGCTGCACTAACCACTCAGAAACAGCCTCCCGGCCATTTCCCAGAATGACAGGACACTGACTCTTTCCTTGTGATGAAGGTCAACATCAGGGGTTAGGGACATGAGTGTTAGGGGATAGGAGGCCATTCTTCCCCTTTTGTTGCCATACACTAGAGGCCCGATGCACAAAAATCCGTGCAAGAGTAGGCCTTCCTTCCCCCGCCTGCCAGCACAGGCTTCCCTCCAGCACCCGGGACCCGGGCTTCCCTCGGGCTGCCCACAGGCATCCAGGACCCGAGCTGGCTTCCCTCTGGCGCTGCTTGGTCAGGAAGGATGTCCGGAAAGACCTCCAGAAGGACATCCGGTCTCATTAGCATATTACCCTTTTATTATTATACATGTTAGATGTTGTGCACAGTCACAAACATCTGCAGTTTTACTCTCCCAGAATCCTGAGCCTGGGGAGGGTTTCAGACACAAAAGGCACAAATGCTCTCACTGGATAGGCAAGAAAATCGGGATCCATGGGCTGGGACTTGCTCCAGGCCACACGGAGTGAGAACCAAAGCCATGACATCTTGGAGAAAGTTCATGTTCTCATGACTGTTCCATGCTGAGACTCCTCGCTGGAAATGGAGAACAAAGGGTGTGGGATCCTTAGGAAATTTGGGCTCAGGAACCTGAGGGGACAGATTTAAACCTTGAAGGCTTAAGCGGATAGGTCTTCCCAGTTTTACCCCAGATACATTTAAGCAGCTCTTCCGGCCTAACTCAGAAAGGCCAGATATCTTGGCAGTCTTGGATCAATAGCAATTAAACCTCAACCTTAAAGCTGGGAAGAACAAACACCAAATGTAAACACCACCTTTCAAGTTCCTAGTAAATATTTTCCTTCTCTCTCTACGAGCCTGTTTGTTTGTTTGTTTGTTTGTTGAAAATGGGAGGGGCATAGCAACTCCAACAAGCCATGCATAGGCCCTAATTCTTTGTAGGGTTCATGATGGCAACACCTTTAAACATGAGGCTGCCAGAGCCCGTGCTGGCCACAGTTGCCTCTGCAGGTGTGTTATTGTCACTATTGTGTGTAGTTAGGGCCACTGAAAGGTGTAGCATAAGAATACGTGGGCCCCAGCTGATGGGAACGTCATCCTAAAGGTGGCGCCTTAGATTCCTGTCAAGGCCCAGGAGGCAACCTATCGATGTTTCTCTCTCTCTCAAATCAAAAACATACCCTGGGATAAGGATTTTTTGAAAGAATATGTGGCTGCACAATGTGGGGCTGTGTGACGTTTGCCAGATGTGACTCCTCTCGACAACGTGCTCTGAACTGCTACCCATCGGCGAGGCATGGTCCTTCCTGAGCTGCTGGAGCCCTACCCTCCGCTCTCCTAACCGGAGGCTCCAGTCCTGCCGGAGAGGCAGCACGGGGGTGCTGCACCTCAGCAGTGACATCCCAGCCTTTCCTCGCTCCAAGGCCTGAATGCCTGGGAGCACCTGAGGGGCACAGGCGGTGCGGGGTGTCTGAATACTTCCAACCGGTAAGTCCTGCAGCCACGCTCCTGGCACCCTTCAGTGGATTTACCTCCTTTCCCTGCATCTTCACCTCCGTTTGGGAGTGACCCTGAGGTCGGAGCGTCCCAGGAAAGCTGATCTCAGGGTCGGGGTGGGGGGTAGGATTGGAGGGGGGGGGGTTGGGGGGGATAATGA